CTCTCTCTCTCTCTCTCTCTCTCTCTCTCTCTCTCAGCCACTGCTGTGTGTGTGTTGGATGTAAAGTCATGTATACTGTAGAGTTTGAGGTCCCACGTGAGTTTCTTGCTTCCAAATCAAATTCCAGTGGACTCCCCATTTATGTGACGCCTCACCAGTCTGTCATCTTAACTTATTGCTCTTGATGATGATGATGATGATGATGATGATGATGATAGTAATAATAACAACAACAATAATCACGAAAGGTGGAACATTCATCATGGCGCTTGAGGTAGATGCGTGTCTTCTTGTTGACTGACTGACTCTGTTGTTAAACTGTGTGTGTAAGAGTTTGTAAGGTTGCACAGTTTAGACATTTTAGGTGAAACGGTTTCTTTGCTGTGGCTTCAACCTGCGATCCACATTTATGAAATTATGATCCATATTGTGGTGGGTTATTATTGTTAATCTTTATCATTATTTTTTCCTTCTTTTAGTTGTTTAGTTTAGGATCTGCTGGTGTGAACAGACCGAGGACATTTCAGACCCCCATGTAAAGACCCCTAAATCCCACAAAATCCTACAAAATCCCAGTTTAAAGTGTACAGTATGTGATCATCTCTGTTGTACTGAACCCCATAAGGAGGGTGTAATAAACAGAGCAGATTACATGGAAAGACGTTGGAGGTGAAGCCTAGTGAAAATAAAAATCTACATGAACTAAAGCAGCATCTTCTGGCGTGTGAGCCTCCCCTCCTCGGGCGGTCTGAGATTAAATTATAGCCGCCTCTGTCTCTGGAGTCTGGCTTTGAACGCTGCTCCATCTTTCATTTCATTTTTACTTAATAAATCACGTTTATTTAACTCATTATTTTTGCTCTCTGTTGGCCAATTTTAATAGATTATTATGAAAATGAGTCACTCGTCTGTTGAATCTGTTCCTAATTAAGTAATTACTGTGTGAAATCATGAGGGATTTTATCTCTCAAAATTAGTGTCACTGCTTGAATTAAGTTGATTTCAGTGCTGTTGAAATAACTGACCTGTCCATGCTCTGTCTTCTTTCATAGCAACCGTCGCTAGGTTGACTAAGCTTTCCAGAAACGTCAGCAGAAATCTCATTTAGCCGATATGACAGTATAACTGACTCTAAATGTAGGTATTGTGATATAAACTGAGTCTGTTCTACAGTTTCTCATTAGGTTGAATGAATAACTGACTCTAAATGTAGGTATTGTGATATAAACTGAGTCTGTTTTACAGTTTCTCATTAGGTTGAATGAATAACTGACTCTAAATGTAGGTATTGTGATATAAACTGAGTCTGTTCTACAGTTTCTCATTAGGCTGAATGAATAACTGACTCTAAATGTAGGTATTGTGATATAAACTGAGTCTGTTCTACAGTTTATAATTAGTTTGAATGAATAACTGACTCTAAATGTAGGTATTGTGATATAAACTGAGTCTGTTCTACAGTTTCTCATTAGGCTGAATGAATAACCGACTCTAAATGTAGGTATTGTGATATAAACCGAGCCCAAATGTGACGTTTGGTGGTTTCTGAGATTCTGAGACAGCATTTTCCATGACATCATGACGCCATCATTGCGGCCCATTGTTTAAGCTGTAGTGAAGCTGCTGAGAGTGTAGGAGGAAGGACTCACTGCTGCTCACCAGGCTTTGAGCCAAGGGTGTGGTCAGGCCTAATTTAAGCTGTTTTTCCTCTTTTTTTTTCCTTCATTTCCCGCTCTTGCTGCACTTTTTTTGCCTTCCATTACTCATACTGTCTTTGGAACCTTGGAGGAATAACAATTGATCTGTAAATGCTGCCGTTAGTGCAGGCAGTTCTGCAAGTCTGATATTCTGCCTGGTGACAGTGAGAGTAACAGGGCGTGTCTTAGGCATGTGAACAAGTGACCAACACTTTCTGGTTTAGTAAGTAAAATAATATGCAGTGTTCTCAACAATATATATATATATATATATATATATATATATATATATATATATATATATATATATATATATATATATATATATATATATGTATGTGTGTCTGCATACTTTGTTAGCCCCCTTTTACCCTGTTCTTCAGGGGTCAGGACCCCCATGGACCCTCATAGAGCAGGTACTATTTGGGTGGTGGATCATTCTCAGCACTGCAGTAACACTGACGTGGTGGTGGTGTGTTAGTGTGTGTTGCGCTGGTCTGAGTGGATCAGACACAGCAGTGCTGCTGGAGTTTTTAAACACTGTCCACTCGCTGTCCACTCTATTAGACACTCCTACCTTGTCAGTCCACCTTGTAGATGTAAAGTCAGAGACGATAGCTCATCTGCTGCTGCACAGTTTGTGTTGGTCATCCTCTAGTCCTTCATCAGTGGTCACAGGACGCTGCCCACAGGACGCTGCTGGCTGGATATTTTTGGTTGGTGGACTATTCTTAGTCCAGCAGTGACACTGAGGTGGGTGGGTGGGTCAAAATGTACATATGCATAAGTAAAAAAAATAAAGTAAATAAATATAAATTTACGTGTGTGTGTGTGTGTGTGTGTGTGTGTGTGTGTGTGTGTGTATGTGTGTATACCCAGTTTTACATATGTCTAAAGTGTACATTCTCATATTTCAATAAACAGTATTTTTTATACATTTTAGTTTTACCATGTACAGCTTACAGCACTGTTTAAATTCATCAATAAATAATTTATAGTAGTTATCAAATCATTAAGAGTGTTTTAGGAAAAAGCCTGTGGGCGGAGCCTTTATAGCAGCTCCGTTTATTACCATTATTCCAACAGATTCATACCGGATTCATAACAGATTCAGATTCATAGTTATTAAATGACTTATAGCCATTACATAATAATTCATAGTGGATACTGATTAATAATTCATAGTAGGTACTGGTTATTGGTCAGTCAATAATTTATAGTAATTACTGAATAATTAATAGTAGTTATTAATAGTTATTAAATGATTCATAGTGGTTACTAAATAATTCATGGTGGAGTGATTATTGGTCAGTGAACAGCTTATGGTAGTTACTGATATTGGTTACTGCATTATTTACAACAGTTTTTAAATGGGTACTGATTAATAATTCATAGTAGATACTGATTATTGGTCAGTGAATAATTTATAGTAGTTATCAAATAATGATGCTTGCTATATAATTTACAATAGTTATTAAATGATTCATAGTCGTTACTAAATAATTCATAGTGGATATTGATTAATAATTCATAGTAGATACTGATTATTGGTTAGTGAATAATTTATAGCAGTTACCAAATAATAGTGGTTACTACATAATTTACAATAATTATTAAATTATTCATAGGCATTACTAAATACTTCATAGTGGACAGTGATTAATAATTCATAGTGGATACTGATTATTGGTCAGTGAATAATTTATAGTCGTTATTGAATAAATAATAGTGGTTATTACATAATGTACAGTAGTTATTAAATGATAGTAGCATAGTCGTTACTAAATAGTTCATAGTGAATACTGATTGATTCAGAGCGGTCACTTAATCATTTGCTGTAGTTACTAAATGATTCATGAATGAATAATGACTAGATTTCAGCAACAAGTTGTGAAAACAGCTCAAAAGTGCCCAGAATGGTGGAATTTGGGGGCGGAGTTTTAAGAGTTTAAGGGGAAAGCCTGTGGGCGGAGCCTTCTTAGCAGCTCCTTTCACTACCATCGTTCTAACAGGTTGTCTGCAGACGTAGGTCTTCATTGAGATCACGTCTGGCTGTGCAAAACAATGTTTACACCGTTTAAACATTTAGACCTTCACTCTAGCGCCCCCCTGTGGACAAACTGGTGGTGTTTGTCACGCTTGTTGCTCTTCTAAGCCCTCTTGTATAAATGTCAAGCCAAACCCGTCAGTTACAGCCGCTAAATGTCAAACGTTGATGAACTCTTCAGAGCTGAAGTGTAAAGCTGCCCCTGGTGGTGAGATCCGGAACTGCAGCATTGGAGATAACGACTTCAGGACACTTTGTCTCTCTCTCTCTCAGTCCCCAGCGTGCAGGTAGTCTATCAGATAAGCAGCCACACAGCCGTAAAGCTCTGGCACGCCGTCCGTCTCCTGCTCCCCCGACAAGCATTCACTTCAGCTATTATTAAATGTCATTGAGCAATTACGGAACGGTTCAACTGCTTTCCTCTCTCTAGACCTCCGTCTGTCCATCTGGGCCTCGTTCTCTCTATGTCTGTCCATCTGCCTCTTTTAAGGCACCTATTAAGTCATAAGATGTGAAAAATAAAGGTAAACGTGCTGTTAAAGTGTAATGTGTGCTATTAAAGGGCTGATATCACGTGAAACTAAATTTTTCCCTTTTTTTAAAAAATAAGCCAGACGTCGTATGTGAACGTCAAAATGGAGCGTCCACTTCTTAGTCCAGACAGTCCAGATATGGCATCTAAGCTGCAAAAACAGGCCACTTCGAATGGTTTGTTTTTGTGATGTCACAAACACCAACACGTTTACATGTAACTCATTCATACTCATTTAGCCTACCGCTGTTTAGCCCCGCCCATTTATGCTGAAGTTATGAGTATTTCAGCGCAGACTGCTTTCTGAATGAGGCATAATGTTGAGGGCAACCCAGTCAGAACAGACCTCATTTACATATCTTAAAGGGCCAATATCCTACATTTTTTGTGTTTTTTTTTTTTCCACTTAATTTTCCTCTCATTAGTTTGTTGCTGTGCTTTTCAGATTGGTATATGTAAATGAGCTCTGTTCTGATTGGCTGCGCGCTATTTGAAAAGCAGTCCAGGCGGAAACACTCCTTATAACTTCAGCGTTAGTGGGCGGGGCTAAACTGCTGCACGCAGAGTTGGCGGATGTATGTAAATGTGATAGTTTGTGTGACTACACAGACATTACAGTGCAAGGAAAACATAAAGTATGGGCTCTTTAAGTTATGTAATGAGTTGTATTAAAGTGTAATGTGTACTGTATCACACTCTTTCTCTCTCTCTCTTCCTCTCCCAGTTCTTTCACTTCTCCTCCGCGAAGGCGTACCCCTCGTCGGATGAGCGCTTTAAAGGCCGTGTGAAATGGGTCGGCGCTCCGTCATTGGGGGATGCATCGATCCAGCTCCTCAACGCCTCGCTCAACGATAATGGCACGTACTCCTGCACCGTCCGCAACCCCCCCGATGTCCACGGCCCGTCCTCCCAGACCGTCCTCACCGTCACGCCCAAGAGTGAGACTCACAACAAGTCTTTAATTTCTAATGATTGTTTAATAATTCATAGTGCATACTGTATCATTCACAGTAGACACTGAATTGTTTATAGTAGATACTGAATCATTTGCAGTATATCCTGAATCATTTATAGTAGATACAGAATAATTTATAGTAGATACTTCAGTAGATACTTTATAATTTATAGTAAATACTGAATCATTTATAGTAGGTCCTAAACCATTACTAGTAAATACTGAGTCATTTATAATAGAAACTGAATCATTTATAGTAGGTCCTAAAGCTTTAAATAATAAATAGTGAATAATTTAAAGTAGATACTGAATCATTGATAGTGGGTTCTAAACCATTAAATAATGAATGCTGAATTATTTAAAGTAGATACTAAATGATTTATAGTAAATACTGAATCATTTAAGTATATGCTGAATCATTTATAGTAAATACTGAACCATTTATAGTAGATCCTAAACCATTAATAGTAAATACTAAATTGTTTATAATAGATGCAGAATCATTGTTAGTAGATACTGAATCATTTTCATTTTGTAGTAGATACTGAATCATTAATAGTAGATGATCCTAAACCATTTATTTATATATGCTAAATCAAATGAATATTCATAGTAGATACTGAGTCATTTGTAGTAGATACTGAATCGTTCATAGTAGATACCAAATCCTTTATAGTAGTTTCTGAGTCAATTATACTTACTCACTCACTCTCTCTCTCTCTCTCTCTCTCTCTCTCTCTCTCTCTCTCTCTCTCTCTCTCTCTCTCAGAGGTGGGTGTGCGTTTCTCTGATGTGGCTGTGTTGTTATTGTTTATTATCGTGCCGTCGGGGCTGATAGCGCTGGTGCTGTTAGTGCGAATCTTGTGTCCGTGCTGCTCACCTGTGAAGAAGAGCTCGGGCCTCAGTCGCCACTCGCCTATAGAGGTCACTGATGGGTAAGTAACATGCACACAGACACACAGACACAGCTCTGAGGTCGGCTCCCTCTCTGCAGTCCACTCTACTACTGTTTAAAACCTGTCTACTTTGGTTAATAGCACGTATTTGAGCTGTTAGTCAGTTGCTCAGGAGCCACGGTGTTACACTGGTTTAGTCTTGTCGGGTCACTGCAATGCACAGCAGTTATTTTCCTTCCTCCAACACACACTGATTGCTCCAGCAGACACGGACAAGTTGAATCAAGCGTGTTAAAGCAGAAAAATAGTAAATCAGGGAACAAATTGCGGATTTTAGTGTGTAGGTTCTCTTTATGTGCTGAATTTAACACACTGGGAACAAATAAAACATGAAATGTCATCACAAACCACGTCACAAATGTATCTTTTATTAAAAATTATCAGACAAATGTCATATTTAAGTGTGTTCTTTTTAGAGGATGTGTCAACTGTTCACTTAGAAAATCTACATCATTTGACCAGGGGTGCACAAACTTTTGAATAAGACTATAAAGTTGTCCCCAAAGGGCGCCCTTTTTTTTTTAGCCACGCCCTTGCATTTTAGCGCAGGAAGTGAGGCTGCATCCCTGTCCCTCATGGCCACATGGTGAGCAGTTAGATCCCATTGTTTTGAAGGAAATGTGTCCCAAAGTCTGAAAGTCAGTGTGGAACATTTAAGAAATTGACACATTTCCTCTGATTTAAGCCTTTTTTGTGTTGAAAAATATGATGATTTTGTGTGTGTACAGATGTTTAAAGCTGGGTTTGCTTGTACAGGCTAGCATTTTTGAGTTCTGCTCGAAATGAGCTAAAATGATCACTTAAACAGTGAGAAAGCTGTTTCTGTGTAGATCTGTTATTTTATTGTTTTGTCTGTCTGTGTTGTGGGCACATCCATGCTGTGAATTGTGGTTAACTAGCAACTAATAGATAAGTGTTCTGATAACCGCTGTGTTGTGTCCTCTGCAGGGAGGAGTGCCTCTACAAGCAGCCCAAGCAGAAAACTCCAACATGCTGTGAACTGTATTTGCTGGTAAAATATCTCAGATTCTGTGTTTCTAAATTTCACAATTCATGAAGAAGTGTCTCGGACTATTGGTCTTAATCTGGGATTAAATAAGGATTTCCTGTGGCGAATATCCACTCAAGTACACACTTTGAGCCCACACTAGGCCGAGTGTGGGTGGACGACATGGTGGGCTTTGGCATGTCTGACTATAAATGCTTTTACTCACTGATCACCAGTTATTTATTTATTTATGCGATTTGTTCACATGAATATAAATGATCCAGACACTGAGTATGATTTTTCATATGCTGGAAAAGGCACTACACTTTTTGCTCTTTGTTAATTTTTTTTAATTTGCAAGCAGCATGAACTCTTCTTGACCATGTCAATCATTGTTGTGTTCATTGGCATGTTGACACCAGTGACGAATGATGGGCTGCGTGGCAGCAACCCGTAGCCTACTTTTTGACAAGCATTAAAATGATTGAGGCCTTAATCATAAAAAGTGGTTTCTGGAAGTCAGTTTTATTTTTTATTTCATATTCATTGTGGTCTCTGCCGTTGGCGTGACGGGAGCTATGATTACAGGTCAGTTGCGTCTATGCTGTTCAAAACAGATCCATAGAGACAGAGACAAGTCTGAGTACAAATATCAGAGACTTCTAACGTCGGTACAAATACCATCGAGTCTGAGACGAGTCTGTTGAGACTAAGACAAGTACAAATACCACTGAGAAGTCAGAGTACAAATACTATTGAAACCATGACAAGTAGAGATACTATCGATACCATAGAGTTTGAGATCAGTCCAAAACCAAGACCAATACTATCAAGTCAGAGACAAGTCCGAGTACAAATACTGTTGAGATAACTAGTACTGTACAAGTACTGTCATACCAAGTCAAGTATGAGTACAAGTACGGTCAGACCAAGACGAGTCTGAGGACAAGTACCATCAGACCAAGACGAGTCTGAGGACAAGTACGGTCAGACCAAGACGAGTCTGAGTACAAGTACCATCAGACCAAGACGAGTCTGAGGACGAGTACCATCAGACCAAGACGAGTCTGAGTACAAGTACCATCAGACCAAGACGAGTCTGAGGGCAAGTACGGTCAGACCGAGATATGTGCGTGTACAAGTACCGTCATATTAAGACGAGTCCAAGTACTGTTGAGATTAAGACAAACACAAGTACAAATACTATCGGGATCAAGATGAGTACACATACTATCGAGTCAGTGACAAGTCGGAGTACAGTTACCTTCGGGACTAAGATGAGTATGAATATGAATACTACTGAGACCAAAATAAGTCTGGGACAGTAGAAAAACTTGTCAAGTATGAAGTTATACAACACTAATAACAGACATTTGCTTTAACAAAGTTTACAAAATAGCATGTATCGATTCCTAACTTTGCTTTCTCTCTGTCTCCGCTGGTTTAGGACTCGGATGACGAGGAGTACTATCATCATCACGAGAAACAACGCATGGAGACAATAGCTGAGTCCCAGTGTTAGCCTCTACTGGACTCTAGCTCGTCCTGTAATCGTCCTGACGTTTGTGTAGGAGCCTGGAAAAGAAACTGCAACTGGATCAAACTTGCTATAGACAAACTGTGCAGATAGACCGACTCTAGCTTGCCTGTTTCAGGTTGGAGATTGGTCTCATAAACTTGTACTTAAAGCCTACACTGACCTGATCCTCTGCTGGAGTTCAGTCCATTCTGTTCACTCTTAAGGGTTTAAAAAAGGGTTTTTTGAGTTGAGGCCATATGGGGGAAACACTTGTGGTTTCTTATAGCAGTGGTTCTCAAACTGAGGCAGATCCCGAGATGGTCCACCTTTTTGCTCTGACCTTTTATGTTGGGATGGAGTAAAAATGTGGACAGCATAGGGGTTCCTTTTGGACCATTATGGGAACCTCTGCACTACAGCGATCCTCAGGCACCCCCAGACAGTCCAGATTTTGTGCTTCCTAACTTGCAACCCATAGGGTTAGAGCAAAAATATGGAGCATCTGGTGGTCACTAAAGACCGCTTTGAGAACCACTGCTTTAAGAAGCACAGAACCTTTCAGTACACGTTTCAGTGCAAATAAAATGGCTGAAGAACAGAATCTGAAACTTGATTCTGTACTCATTAAAGGTTAATCATACATCCAAGCCAAGAACCAATATTGTGCTAATGGCTAACAGATGATACGTTATGCAACCCTAATAACCTCCAGGGATGAATTTGAGAGGTTGAGGGTCTACATTTGGTCTCTGGCTTACTGAAAAATCTTAATTTACAGCCCACCCGCAATCCCTCCCCTCCCCAACCCAAAGGGTAGTCGTTTGACCAAGTTGTCCCAAATGTTTATTGCCTGAAATTTGCTTCTTTATTTTGCACTGGAGCTATGAAGCTAATGTTACAAGCCTACAAGTCAAACGATTTTGGAAGTCTAGTTACCTACACTTCCATTACTTGTTAGCTACATTACCTTTGTAGCTTCAGCACAAAACTAAAGAAGCAAACCTCAGACACCAAACATGATCAAAGAGCAAAAATATCTACATTTTGGGTAAATTAGGTTACTGCCAAACTCCTCTGATGGATAAATCAGAAACCAGGCCAATGTCTGCTATGATATCTTAAATTCTAGTACTGCAGACTGTCCTTCAGTAAACTCAGCTCCACCAGCAATGCTTCAATGGGGAGTCAGGTCAGGCACCACCCTGAAGAGCTAAATGTATGATTTCCACCTTCTTCTATGGGAAATTTGTATTAACTGTACCTTCACTGGCCTATTTAGATGATATTTCCTTTGTCTCAGACCATGTTCCGGATTCACAGACAGAGTGCTGGAGTAATTACATGCTTAATGGCAATTCCCTGTTGAAAATGTCTTTAGCGCAGATGCCGTGTCAAACTACTGCTGATTGACTCTCAGTTTCTGCCTTGCATATTAAACTGAGACTATACTGGCACTCTAAAAAAATAAAATGAAAAGGTTCTTCAATCAAAAGAAATGGTTCTAAACCTTTGTGCCTAGACTTAAAGGAATATGGACTGGCTTTAAACATGCTAATAAGGCTAATATTAGACAACAGCCAGCAGTAATTGGTTAGCATGATCATATTTTGCTAATGGTAGCTGGTCATTGTTGCTCAATATAGTATTAGCAGTGTTTTGCCTTTTGGTGTTCCTTTAATATATGTCCGGAGAATTGACGGTTGGAGCTCATGGTTACTGGGAAACTACCTTTGTGCTAACCTGACATGCTACATCCAGCCATTCAGGGTCCAGAAGAACTTGGTTTACTGCCTTTGACTGTCCACACATGCCTTTGAATTCAAAACGTGATAGAGTCCTGTTGATTAACATGGACGATCATTTTGATGCCTTTAGAAAAGAGCAGACTAAAATGTCTCTTATAATGGAATCCAATGGGCGGATAATGGAGAAAGGAGTTCCTGTTACCTTCACTTGCCCTAGGCTTTGTGTGGTGTCCATGGTGATCAGGCATGCATCCCTAAGCTGGTAGCGATTACCATAAATCTGTTGCTATGAATCTCTGAAAGAAAGAGTTTATTAAAAAAGATTTACGGCTTAATTTAAGCATTTAATGTTTGCAGACAGGTTTCAGCAACTGCCCGTTGACTTCCATTCCAAGTATGTCTCAAATGACGTTTTTCCTCTTACTGGGAAATGTGTCAATTATTTTTCAGCTATACGCCTACAAATGCATCCTATAGAGGTTGACAAATTCTGGAGTACTTCTTGAACTTAAGGTCTTATACGCACTTACGTTTCTTTCCATGGTTTCTAAACTGGACGTCAGTAATCAGAAGGATTTGTTGTTGTATTTGTGTATGTATGTGTAGGTTTAAGTTATTTCAGTTCATTTTGCTGTTTATGAAGATGTTTGTACAGATATATTTTTTCTGTTTCACACTTATCTTACATTACTTTCCATTTCTTAGCTTTGCACTCAGTATTCTAATTGGAAGTAGATGTAAAGGTCCAAAGCTGAGCTTATTTTCACAGTACTCTGGGGTCGAGAAGGCTTTTTTTCTTTCTAAATGAAGTCTGAAATAAGGTTACATGAATTGAAACAACCAAATGCTTGCTATAGATTGCTTTTCCTTAAGTGAACTTTGAGTGTCTTTATGGACACTCTCCAAGTGTATTTTTTTTCCTTTAATTATATGATGCATATAATGAAGTCTATATTTAATACATGTTTATACAGATGTAATATAGTTGAGCACACTGTCTAATATAAAAATGCAATTTAAGTGACTAAATAAAATGTGTAAGTAGTTCAAACCTGTTGTTTTACATGTTTTCTGTTGCAAAGAAACTTGAGAGTCGCACCTCAGAGACTCGAGACTCGCACCTCAGAGACTTGAGACTTGAGACTCGAACCCTAGAGATTCGAGACTCGCACCCCAGAGACCTGAGACTCGCAACTTACACCCCAGAGACTCGAGACTTGCATCCCAGAGACTCAAGACTCATACCTCAGACACTCGAGACTCGGACATGCAACTCAGAGATGCAGCTCGGACTCACATCCAGGACTCAAGACTTGCACCTCAGAGACTCCGGACTTGACTCAGACTTGCACCTCACCGACTTTAGACTTGACTCAAACTCGTGCCCCAGTGACTCTAGACTTGAACTTAGACCTCAGAAACTCAAAACTAGGACTTGCAACCCAGAAACTCAATGCTTGACTCAAGACTCAGACTTGCACCTCAGACACTCTAGACTTGACCTTGGCTCACACCCCATGGACTCGGGATTCAACTCGCACTCATACCCTAGAGGTTTGCAAACCTCAGAGACTAAGAGATTCCACATGCATCCCAGAGACTCTAGATTTGACCCGGACTGACAACCCAGTGACTCTAGACTTGACTTGAGACTTGGCCTCTAGAAACACTAGATTTAACTAGGGACTTTCACTCCTGAGACTCTAGACTGAACTCGGAACTTGCACTTCTGAGACTTGACTTGGGCCTCACAATTCTGAGTCTGTAGACTCAGGAATCGCACACCTGAGACTCTAGACTTGACTCGGCCTCGTACTCCTGAGACTCGAGACTTAACTCAGGGCTTGCATCCCCCAAGACTGGAGACTTGACTTGGGATTGGTGCCCTTGAGACTCGACTTGGGACTCGCACCCCCAAGACTTGAGACTCGACTAGGGACTTACACCCCTGAGACTCAAGATTCGACTTGGGACTCTCACCCCAGAGACTCTAGTCTTGACTTGGACTCGCACCTCAAAAACTTGAGACTTGTGCAAAACTACTTGTGAGCTACGAGTGTTAACCATCATAAAACAAATTTCAAACTGGTGAAACGTGGACTGCTACAACCCTTCCTGGTATATCCTATGTGTGTCTGCATGGTGTCTTTCCTCCCGTTGTATCTATTTCTCTCCTCCTTAGTGATGGGCGGGTAATGCCTTGTCTGTCGATGCTGCGGTTTACCTCCACTAATGGCCCTCTGGGAAAGCCTACAGCTGAATGACAGATTTGACACCAGATGGAAGTGCACTACAGGTACCACATGAGCAAGATGATGTTAGCTTTAAATCATAAAACATCCATATATTTGAGCTTTTATTCCACGTGTTGAGTCTTACTTTCAGCCTTGTTGGTTATCTGGAACTGTAAGGGGTTTGAATGTGATTTTGATTATAATCTAAGTATAGTTTCTGTTTTGGGTATAGAGGAAGGTTAATTTGTTCCACGCTGTTTTCAAATTTGTTCAAAGATCTAGAACAGAGTGCTCTCATACACTTGATTCATCTCGTGAGCAGCCTGATAATTTGCTGATGAGTTGAAGCAGGTGTATTGAAGTGGGGAGGGAAATGAAATACAAAGTTTGGAAAGGCTCATTAATGACATTACGCATGAAGCGTCAAAAGCTGATATTCATCAGCTGACGTTGTTGGTTTTAATGAGCATGTCACGTAATCGAAATGTGATTCCTGAGACAGACGCTGTTTCAATTCCATGCATTTTGTAAGCAATTTGAATTAGATTGAATCTGCATTTATTCTGTCTGCAGCAATATGTGTGTACTGTTTGGTATCTGGTTTTGAATGTAACAGTATTTCACTTTCCCACCGGCTAGAATGTGGCCAAAATTATGTGGACACCTGACCATATATAAGCCTGTTGGACATCCCTTTCCAAAACCATGGGCATTACTACGAAGTTGGCTCTTCTTTTGCAGCTGTAACACCCTCCACCCTCTTCTCGGAAGCTTTCCACAAGATTTTGGAGTGTGTCTGTGGGAATTTGTGCTCAGTCAGTTAATAGAACAAGTGTGAGGCCAGACCCTGATGTTGGACGAGAGGGCCTGGCTCACAATCAATGTTCCTGTTCATCCCAAAGGTGTTCGGTGCGGTTGAGGTCAGTTATCTGTGCAGGCCACTGGAGTTCCTCCCCACCAAACTCTTCAAACCTTGTCTTTATGGAACCTTGTCTTCCTTTTGGAACAGGAAAGGGTCTTCCCCAAACTGCTGACACAAAGTTGGAAGCATCCAAACCACATTTGGTGGTTTGAAATGCGATTCCAATCAGATTTTTACAGATGCGTCTCAGTCTGGCCGCTCTGGCCTTTCAAATCGGATTTCAAAGTGTCTTTTGCGTCACTTGCAACACGACTGGCAATGACGGTGTCAAATCCAGAGTGACGGAAGTGCTGGGATTCAGGAAGAGCACCAAACATTTATGCCATTTATGAATTCTGAAATCTGAATTCTGGGTTTGGAGGGCGAGAAGATGCACCTCCATCTCTCCTGTATCCACGTTTGAAATCCAGTGTGGCTTCGTAGATACTGACGCCCACTTCTTTACCGCAGCAACCCATGCAGACAGGCTGGTGATGTCTGGACACACAAACCCGATTTGGTCACTTGCAAATAACAGTGCAGACAGTGGTCTTAAAGAATCTGATTTAAGAAACAAATCCGACTTGCCTGCCCAGCTGAAGTGTATGTACCTCTACCTAAAGCCCCAGTGAAGACGTCAGGGGAGTATTTCACAAAGCATTTACCCAGATAACCCCTTAAATGGCCAGGGCCCACCGACAGGCCCAAAAGTGTTACATGCTTCTATAACGTTAGAATAGCTCAGCCAGTTTGCAGTGAAGTCCCTGTAGATACTGAATAATAAGCCTTAGTATGTAATAAGCCTGAGATCTTAAGGGGTCAACTAACTTTAGCCAAGTTTATCAGTAGAAGAAGTGATAGTGGACAATCCTAACTTTGGGCTTAAATTAGCCAGTTTAGAAAAATCTTTCTTTGTGTAGGTAAACCCCTAAAGACTAGCTCTCAGTTTAAGCATAGCTTAAAATTTGCCTTGAGCATGCTAAACTTAAACCAGTTGGCAAGCTAAGCACATGCTAACCATGCTAGCTTTGAGTTTATTAGCTCAGAGCATGCTAGCCTTGAGCATGCTAAACATTCATGAAACCACTAAGCATGCTAAATATTCATGCTAGCTTGAAGTTCTTAGCCCAAATGTGGTTGATCAGTAAAGCTATGAGGCTAATGTGGCTAACGAATGGACTGCTGTTACTGTTTTTAGCTGTTTTTGTACTTTGTCTGTTTACAGTGTCAGAATCTGCTACAGATCACTGAGCAACTCATACAGTTTGACGTGAGTGTGTGATGAGTTAGCTGAGCCGTCTCTCTGATACGCTAATGATTAGCTGTGATGACCAGAGTTTGGGGCAGCTCCGTCACTGAGACTGTGACGAGTCTTTAGTCCTGGGTTGAGCGTCTCTGGTTTACTGCAGGCTGCTTCCCCCTTCTCTTCTATTGGGTGCAGTGGGGGAGAATCACGATCCGAGACTCAGAATAGCGCACAGATGATCTCGTATTGACAGCAGTGTTAGTCATCAGTGGGGGGGGGCATGGATTTCCTGCTATGAGCACCTGTGTCATACGCCGTAACGGGCGTCGGCCCTTTTCACGCTGTTTACCGCCATGGAGTGTTTTT